GAGCTGTGTACTTGGGTCGCCCCTGCCCTGCAATGACAGGCCAGCCCCCTGAGACCTGCCATCCCCCTGGAGAAGAGAGTGGCTATTGCCCTCTGGAAGCTGGCCACCCCAACTGCTACTGTTTGGTGGGACACCAGTTTGGCGTGGGGAGATCTACTGTTGGCACCGTGCTGATGTAGGTAAGTCCCTCTCAGAGGACAGTCCATGCAAGGAAGGGGGAATGTAAAAGAGGGACTGTCAGAAAGGGCAGAGGGAGTGGGGGATGGAGTGGGACTGGGGGAGGGCTCCTGCCCTACTGCTAGGAGGAGCCACCTGGGGGGGCCTCCTGGAGTCTTGGGGGGGAGCATCCCATCGAGCAGCCCAGTACATCAACAGAAAGGGCTACTTCTCCATGGTGCTGCAGGCCCTGGTTGACCACCCCACACAAATGTCTATAAACTTTCTCTGGTGGTCGGGCTGGGCACATGATGCCCACATCTTCAGAAATTCCTACCTGTACCACAGGCAGCAGGCTGGAACACTCTTTTAGCAGCAAAACTTTGTTGTTGGGGATGTAGACATGCCAATGTGCATCATGGCCAATGCGGCGTACCCCTTTATGCCCTGGCTCATGAAGCCCTACACTGGCCATCTGGACATGAGCAGGGAACAATTTAATGTGCACCTGAACTGGGCTCGCTTGAAGGTGGAATGCGCCTTTGGATGGCTGAAGGGGAGGTTTAGGTGCCCACTCACTCACCTCGACATGGGAGAATGCAATATCCCTGAGGTGGTGGCTGCATGTTGCATTCTCCACAACCTGGTCGAGAGCAAAGGAGAGGACTTCCTCCCAGGGTGGGGGACATGGGCTGATGTCGAGGGGAGGCAGTTCAAGCAGCTCCGGACAGCTGCCATCCGCGAAGCACATCAGTTGAGGGTCTGCATCCAGGAGGCCCTACGTGAGAGATTCTTAGCAGGAGCCCAGTGACTCTCCCCAGGGCCTTCCCAATGGGGCCTGTAGCCTGGCCCCCACCCCACAAGACCTTTCCTCCCACAACCCACCCCTGCACCAGTCTCTGGACAGAAATAGTTTTTCCTAATATCCAACCTGGACCTCGCCCACCACAACTTGAGACCATTGCTCCTTGTTCTGCCATCCGTCACTACTGAGACCAGCCTTTCTCCATCCTCTTTGGAACCTCCCTTCAGGAAGTTGAAGGCTGCTATCAAATCCCCCCTCACTCTTCGCTTCTGCAGATTAAACAGACCCAAGTCCCTCAGCCTTTCCTCATAAGTCATATGCTCCAGCCCCCTAATCATTTTGGTTGCCCTCCGCTGGACCCTCTCCAATGCGTCCACATCCTTTTTGTAGTGGGGGGCCCAGAACTGGACACAATACTCCAGATGTGGCCTCTTCAGCAGCCTACATTCTTCTGCTCAAACATACCCCTCTTCCCAATTACAATTTGTGCCTGGAGCTTGCTCTGCAGCACACAAATGACATGGATACCCTTCTGGGGCCACAACGCTCCCCCCTCACACCCCCACACTCCCTACCCGGGAACAGAGGACAGCTGTCCTCAGCACAGTTCGCTCACCCATATGGAACTCTTACACTCTGCAAGTTGGTGTGTATTCCCCCAAAATAACAAGTGATCTCATGATTCATTGTTTAGTGTGAGTAGTTTGGAGGTGGGAGGTGGTTATGGGTTTGAGAAAACACAAATATAGAGTATCAGGGTACGTCGAGACTACAAGCCTCTTTTGAAAGATACTTTCAAAAAAGAGTGTCCAGACTGCCTGGACACTCAGTCGAAAAAAGGGCACCCAGAACCACTTCTGGCAGGTCATGGGGGCAGCCTTTACTTCCAGGTCCTGCAACATGCTCTTTGTAGATGTGTGCTTAAAGGGACCCCCCCTGGGCAGCCATTCCTCTGCTGCTGCAGCTGGCTTGCCTACCTCCTAGAGGGACAGCAAAACTTCCGAAGTGCTTGCTTTGGGTGCCCTGCTTTCTGGGACACCACAGCAGTTTGGTTTTGGTTGATTTTTGTGTTTTAGAATCTTATTTTTGCCATGGAGCCGGAGCTGACCCTGGGCAGGCGATGGCCCCACACTGTCATACTTCAAGTTCTGCTGCATCTACATGAGACCATTCTGAAGCTTGTGCCAGATCTTGATTCTGAACCCAGCCTTGAGCCCCTCACTCGGGCTGCAGCACCACTGGCCTTGCCACCCAACTTATTTCTGGACAGGCGATTTTGGAGGCTGGACACAACTTCAGACTGGTGGGACCAGCTCGTCATGGAGCAGTGGGCCAACCAGCGTTGGATCCGAAACTTCCGAATGCGTAAGGCCACATTCCAGGAACTGTGTACTTGGGTTCTGAAGCTTGTGCCAGATCTTGATTCTGAACCCAGCCTTGAGCCCCTCACTCGGGCTGCAGCACCACTGGCCTTGCCACCCAACTTATTTCTGGACAGGCGATTTTGGAGGCTGGACACAACTTCAGACTGGTGGGACCAGCTCGTCATGGAGCAGTGGGCCAACCAGCGTTGGATCCGAAACTTCCGAATGCGTAAGGCCACATTCCAGGAACTGTGTACTTGGGTCGCCCCTGCCCTGCAATGACAGGACAGCCACCTGCGACCTGCCATCCCCCTGGAGAAGAGAGTGGCTATTGCCCTCTGGAAGCTGGCCACCCCAACTGCTACTGTTTGGTGGGACACCAGTTTGGCGTGGGGAGATCTACTGTTGGCACCGTGCTGATGTAGGTAAGTCCCTCTCAGAGGACAGTCCATGCAAGGAAGGGGGAATGTAAAAGAGGGACTGTCAGAAAGGGCAGAGGGAGTGGGGGATGGAGTGGGACTGGGGGAGGGCTCCTGCCCTACTGCTAGGAGGAGCCACCTGGGGGGGCCTCCTGGAGTCTTGGGGGGGAGCATCCCATCGAGCAGCCCAGTACATCAACAGAAAGGGCTACTTCTCCATGGTGCTGCAGGCCCTGGTTGACCACCCCACACAAATGTCTATAAACTTTCTCTGGTGGTCGGGCTGGGCACATGATGCCCACATCTTCAGAAATTCCTACCTGTACCACAGGCAGCAGGCTGGAACACTCTTTTAGCAGCAAAACTTTGTTGTTGGGGATGTAGACATGCCAATGTGCATCATGGCCAATGCGGCGTACCCCTTTATGCCCTGGCTCATGAAGCCCTACACTGGCCATCTGGACATGAGCAGGGAACAATTTAATGTGCACCTGAACTGGGCTCGCTTGAAGGTGGAATGCGCCTTTGGATGGCTGAAGGGGAGGTTTAGGTGCCCACTCACTCACCTCGACATGGGAGAATGCAATATCCCTGAGGTGGTGGCTGCATGTTGCATTCTCCACAACCTGGTCGAGAGCAAAGGAGAGGACTTCCTCCCAGGGTGGGGGACATGGGCTGATGTCGAGGGGAGGCAGTTCAAGCAGCTCCGGACAGCTGCCATCCGCGAAGCACATCAGTTGAGGGTCTGCATCCAGGAGGCCCTACGTGAGAGATTCTTAGCAGGAGCCCAGTGACTCTCCCCAGGGCCTTCCCAATGGGGCCTGTAGCCTGGCCCCCACCCCACAAGACCTTTCCTCCCACAACCCACCCCTGCACCAGTCTCTGGACAGTTAACACACACACACACACACACACACACACACACACACACACACACACACACACACACACACACCCCAAGTACTCAGAGAAAAACATACA